TTTAAGTCCACGGAAAAAGGCAGGCACATTGTTCTGCTTAAAAATTAATCTGTCATATTGCACRTAAGTTTTGGGTCAGATTGCATTCTCCTTACTAATGAAATAAAGTTGCTATTCCATACAGTCAAGTATTTGCTTTTACACTGTCTTGTTTCTAAACAGCTGAAACACTTTTTTTTTCCCCTGATGTAGGTATTTCAATTAGAAAYTTGATTTAACATTGGTGGTAAAAGCCTGATTTCAAAAATGAAGCTTATAATGAGTTGATATTRTAATGATTTACTGCTACATATTGTTTTTCACTCAAGAAGCTCAAGGTACTCCATGATGATCTCCAAGTGAGCTCTTGGCCTCTCTTGTCCCCTTGTGCCAGGCAGAAGAGCCATGTTCCTGCTAGGGCTACCAGAACTGTGGATTTGCTTTAGATGCAGCATCCCAGTGGAAATGCACCACAGATGGCCTGGATCRTCCCTTCCAAAACTGCACGGCTCACTGAGCAGGAAAGGAGCCATCTGCTGAACCAGCAATATTTGTTGATACCTGGGCATTGATGAGGCTGATACGACACCTTAAAGGSCCCCATGCTGAAATATGGTGGGACTTCTTCCAGCCCCCAAGGCAMATGAGGCTGAGGAGGATGCAGAGACGGCTTTATTGGATGTTGAAAAAAGAAACCTAACAGATCAGTTATTCGTGTATGTATTTCTGTAATGTTTACTGTAATGTTATTGAATATTTATACTGCCTAGTTACTTCTGAAAACAACAAACATTTTTAAAAACATGCTACACAACCCCTATGCAAAAGTGGAAACCATCTCCTTTAGTGTCCTACCTATTGTTGCAGCATAATTTTCCAACACAATTCCTAAAATAGTCAGTCCTGACAGAATTTCTGTAACTTAGTCTGCATAAAAGGCTGCTCCTAGCAATAAGCAGCTAAAATGGTTCACGCAGTTATAACTGCTCTGACATAGCTCAACTTAAAACTGAGAATTATGAATAGCAGTGCTTATCTAGTAACAAGTTCTTTAATTCTTCTTAGTCTTCTGTCAGTCCTCAGACTATAAAGGTATTTCTTAGCTGTTGTATTGTCAAGTTGGAACTAGCAGTGAGAACATTAGTTCAATCAGAATTATTATGAGAAGGGACAGATAGAATTCAATKAGAGGGTCCATAGATTGATTAGTTTAGATTAATCAACATAATCAACTTTCACTTAAATCAGTGGTCTTAAATTACCTGCACTAGAAGAGGGGAATTTTTTATATTTAGCTCAATCTCTTTGAAGAAATACAGGCTGTCTAAATTTTTCAGCAGTGAACATTTTACCCAAATCACTAATACATCTAAATCAGCTTATCACATAATATAAATGTTTGCCTTTTTTACRAGCAAGACTGTGTACCATGTGCTGCCTTTCTCTTTTCTATAATTAGCAGAAACATTTGGAAATTGCAGTAACAGTTTCTCTTTATCTTTACAAGAAAGAAAATGACCTAAAAAGGGAAGGAAGGCTAGTCTAGGAAGGAGCACAGCTAATCTAAACATCGCCCACAACTTGAAATCAGGGACACCCCCTCCCTTCTCCARCCAGATCCTTTTTCTGTATTTGTGTTTTGTTTTTGTTATTCAAAGTCTCTCTCTTCACTACAGATTTCCCTACTTGGAAATATTATCGTTTGAGATCACTGTAGAGCAACAACAGACAAAGYTGTTCCAAGCTGCAAACTGGGCCATGGGGTAAAAGTTCGGAATCAGTAAAGAACACGTACACTGCGGACATAGGCTACCCCAACATGGAAGTTTTAAGTTCACCTGTCATTTTAGTAGTGTTCATGTTGATCTGTAACTGTACCTAGTAGACATTTTTCAAATAAGAAAACTATGAAGAAAAATACAACTTTCCACTTGGAAAGCTGAATTTTGAACTGCTGTATACTGTCAAACATTTGAACTACTGTCTTTAGTAAAATTTCAACCAGCAATACATTGTCAAAGTTTTCTAACTGGTAGGTAGAGACAGTATAAGAAATTAGAGGGATTTCTGCAGAAAGTTAGAATTGTGATTTTGCAAAAGTTTAGTGCACAGCAATTGAAAATGTCTTTATATGTGTTTTCCATGTCTGGAAATAAAATCACAGCTCCAATTTCTGGACATTCAAACTTTTCCCTAGAATCCTTTCAGATACAGCCATTAGGCAGAAATTGGARGTGTTAGGTGATGAAGAAACTGAATAACTGTTAGGTGATGTTAAGTTGGTACACAGCCTCAGTGAGTCCTCCTGTGAGATCTCCACCACCAGCACAAATTTTGGATAATAAACCAGCTATTTAGCTGAAAATTACGTAAGCTACTACATATTGGTACAATTTAGGAGAAATCCCACAAAGCAATTGATTCTTGCAGAGATTGTGATCTCTAGAGTTACTTCTTACACACTAATGCTGTGGAAAAATAAGCAGTCTTTTTTTTTTTTCATACAATTCCATTTTGCCAGTTAGAAAGAGCTTTAGCAAAGGCCTGGGATGGTAGCAGTGATAACAAACTGAAAGCTTTAAAATAAACTTGGCACCAAGCCTCACTGTGTTGCTAGTCCACTGTTCAATTTGAGGTCAATCGAGGCTTCCACTCGGCAACTGGCTCTGTAAGTTAAGTATACTGAGAGATCCTAAACAGCTGCGAGGGACACAAATGCACAACGTTTATTATTACAGGTCAGACAGACCACTARGATGGTAGTTTGTTCCCACAGGACTCAACAATTGTCAATAGTTTCTGTGACAGTTAAAAGCAACTTAATTATTAGGGGTTTGGGCCCTTTACGCCAAAGCTTTTTGATGGGAACTGTAAAGATTGCCAGATTGGAATGAGGACGTACTATAGTGGAAAAAAAAAAGGATTTGGTCATGTCTAATTTGTGGTTGTAAAAGATGACTGGATTATGGGGAAAGYTTTTAGGTTTCGGAATGGTGTTGACGACTGCAGGGGAAGAGCACTGGCCAGGCAGTACTAGAATAACAGGTCGTTTTGGCAAAGGAAACTATTGTTAATTCCTTAAGAGGCTTATGGTSACACTTAAAACTAAATTTAGGGTTATGGCAATGGGTCAACTGTGGAAGTACTTCATCAACTCCTTCAATCCCAAATACTAACAGTAAATGTAACTCCTCCCTACCTCCCCTGCCTTTACTCTAGCTGAAATTCTGTCTTGCCCATGATGCTAAAATGAAGGTGTATGGTAAAGAGATAAATATTTGAAAGACAATGAGGTAGGGTAGMGGTAGCTCGACTGTAAGGTTGAGCAAAAACAAAGATTAAAATGTAACACACTGTTCCACAAAGGCAACAGTGCTATAGTGAAGACTGCTGCTAGCAGAAATGGACAGCAAGAATTCCATTAGCTTTGGTTACATCTGAAAAAGCAGTGGCRTATCACTTACACGAGTTCAATAAGTATCAGTGAAAATTAGCTAAAGCTCTCTTAAAAATAATTTTGGCAGCCCATTTCGGCGTCATCACCCCTGAATACAGGAAACAAACAGCGATCTTTTGAGGCAGGATTTCTTTTGAGTCACTGAAAGGCCTTCATCCTGTTCCCAGAACTTGACCTAAATAAAGTTACCACTCCTCTGTTTCTGCCTTAAAAGCTTCTGAAATGGGTTTATTCAAGCAGGGACTGCCCTATAAATGGTTGGATCACATCCTCTTCCTCAGTCAGTCTTTGTAAGTCCTGAGTATTGCTACAYGTAGGAGTTGCCAAATTTTCCCCTTCTGGGTGTAAACAGAACGCGTGCAGTGAGCACCAGATTTTTTTAGAAAGCTTTGTAATCTCCCTCAGCATTTCACAATTCTGGTCTCACCACGACTGTCTGGCTGTCGGCGGTGAAGGCACTAACATAATGAACACTAAAGCGTTATTTGTAGCCAGTCCTTGTTTGTTGTGCTGCATATATGGCCATTTTTAATGTTTGCTGTGCTATTAAGCTTGGGCTCTTGGGARTAATTGTAGTGGCTTCCTTTAATGCAGCAATAATCCTTGTTAAAATCAGCAAACGTGACGCGTAGCCTTCGGCAACCAGGAGAGCCAGTGTTTAGCTGCAGGGAGGCGATCGGGGTCGGTGTTGTTTGAACTCCCAGCYGCTGCTTTCGGGGGAGAAGTTCCCTCGGCTACGGCGTGCGGCTGCCAAGCGCCCGAAACAACTGCACTGGGAACAGACGGGGCCGAAGAAGCCGCTCCTCGGGCACCGCCGAGCCAAAGCCGCACGGTCGGTGTCCGGGACAGGGCCGGTGTCCGGGACAGGGGCGGTGTCTGTGGCAGGGCCGGTGTCCGGGGCAGGGGCGGTGTCCGGGGCAGGGGCGGTGTCCGGGACAGGGACAGGGGCGGTGTCTGTGGCAGGGCCGGTGTCCGGGACAGGGGCGGTGTCCGGGACAGGGGCGGTGTCTGTGGTAGGGCCGGTGTCCGGGGCAGGGGCGGTGTCTGTGACAGGGGCGGTGTCCGGGACAGGGCCGGTGTCCGGGGCAGGGGCGGTGTCCGGGACAGGGACAGGGGCGGTGTCCGGGACAGGGGCGGTGTCTGTGACAGGGCCGGTGTCTGTGGCAGGGCCGGTGTCCGGGGCAGGGGCGGGCCCGGGTGGCCCTCCAGCGGCAGCCGCGCTCTCTGCCATTGCTGCAGCAGTAACAGAGCTCTTCATTAACCCGCATTCTTTGTGCGGCAGTRAAATGCTGTTCCGCTTCGGCGTGGTGCTGCCCGCCCGGGTGACGGAGGGYGGCGCGGAGCTGCTGGTGGCCGGGTCGCGGCCGGAGCTGGGCGAGTGGGACCCGCGGCGCGCWGTGCCCATGAGGCGGGCGCGGCCGAGCGCCCCTCTGCCCGCCCAGGAGCCCGCGCTGTGGCTGGCGGAGGTGGCGCTGCCGGACGAGGACGCCRCCAGCCCCTTCTGGTACAAGTTCCTGCGGCGGGAGGGCGGCCACTTCCTCTGGGAAGGTAACGGAGGGGTCCCGTCGCCGCCCCTCGCACCCCCGGCACCGCCCGTCCACAAGGACGTGCCCACCCCGCCGGGAGGGGCGGAGCGGCGGTGCGGGCKCTTCTCCCTGGGGGTGGCTTTGGCCGCCGCTCGCTCCCGCGGCTCCGCCTGGTTCCTGCCGGGGTCGGGAGGGTGTCCCGGCRGCTGGGCCGGAGCCTGAGCCCATGGGTGCTCCAAAGGGGTGGCCTGAGCTGTGCTCGCAGGCACAGCCGTCCAGCTGGCGCGGCGTGAGTTCTGGCTAACAAAAAACGTTTTTTAACCGTGTGATGGAGGCGAGGGAATGCAGGAGGAAGCTGCCTTTCTAGGTTGGTAAAAGTTACTTGAAGCGGTTTCATTTTTTTCCCCCTTATTTTAGGCATCCATTGTCCATTTTCTCTCTTTCCCCAAAGGTAATTCAGGATCTCCTGCTTAGGCATTATGGTGTGGGTTGTTATTTTGTTTCGCTAAGGTGAAATGTCATGATGACATTTTCAGGCTGGTAAATTTTACCACTGCGATTTCTTAAAGAAAAACCCAGGGAGAAGTTCAATTACAGCTGTTCCGGTCTTCTTGCTGTTTCAGTACTTCCACCGTGTTTTCCTCCTGCCGTGTATTGTCAGCTGTTGAATTACTCTCGTCAGTTACCATGTGCTGTTCTARTGTACTTAAGGGTCTTAAATACAAGAGAACACTCAGGCAGCTGAGTCAAATAAAGCTCTAAATATACCTCTTGTTACTGAGGAATGGATCTGACCTAGTGAAAGGAAGACCAATCCCTAAATAATTTTTTTTGAGGGCTTTTTTTTGACTCATACCTTTCTAATCCATGTTCCAAAATAACACATTGTAGAGCAGTTGCTCTTCATCCGTTTTAAGAATAGATKCCACTCTTCTAAATTGCCTCTCTGTCATGTGGACTAAAACATGTATGTTGTCATAACTTTACATTTGTTTGTTGTTCTTTATGCTAATAAAAGACTACATGTTAATGCTGCATTCATGGAAGTTTGCATCATGGATTATGTACATCATGCAGTAGTAATTGTTTTATTTAGCAGCTAAAACAAATAGTATATTCTGCCTGTTTTAACCATGTTTGTGTTTTGTTGGTTTTTTTTTTTTTTTTCAAAATTGCAGGAAAAGTGAATTTATGGAATAAAAATCTTTACATCTGTCCAAGGAAACAGAATTGGAGGTGCCAGAATTTTGAAGGTGCCAAGTTGTACACATAATATGACAATGATACTGGTATATAAAGAGGTCATCACCATGCAGAATATAGAAATAATGGTAGAGTTAGAAATAGTTAGAATTCTATAGAAATAAAAGAGAGTAACTACAGAGAATGAGCAGTTGTAAGGCTGATGGTTACTGTCTGGTTTGGAAGTAGTGAGAGCTCAAGTTACTGTCTGTTTCTGGGAGCACATTTAGGAAATGCAGTCAGTTATAAACATACTGTGTTTTGACAGATTTGCAGTTTTATGATTAACCTGTGTGGTATTTTATTCTTGTCATTGTGAGTGCTCAGGAGTTTAAGCTCACTGTTCAGCTGGGGTAATAGAAAGTAAATGGACATATCATCCAAATACAGTTTTTTAAGTAGTTGTTCATATCAACAATTTTTTCCTGAGTTGATATTTACAGGAWAGACCAAATTTGCTTAAACCTTGAAATTTGTTGCTCTTCATGTATTATGTGAAGGGAACCTAAGGAAGCTTTCCTATCCAATAAYTGAGCAATCTTGCAGTTCTTTTTTATCTATTTTGTTTTAATGGCTTTTTGGTTGTTTTTTTTTGGTTTTTTTTTTACCTCTTAATAAAAGTTTTGGCTATTATGTGTTTATTCTTATAAAAACCATTTGAAAAGACAATTCCCTTTTTTTAAAAATGAACAATTTTTTAAAATAAACAAATGCTATGCATTGTCTCTTGTATCCTGYGTGTTTAGAATTAAAATGTTCTTTGGGAAACATTCAGCGCTTGCAGAACATCTGCRGTTTTGAAGACATGGTGAGGAGGGATAGAGGAAAGTGCAGAATGATATTTGCTCGAAGTTTATCTGTAACCAGAGGAGCTCTAGCCCATTTATGGATGTCAGATGTTTGCGTATATTGGATGTTGAAATCATRCTGTATTGAAGAAAATTATTCCCATTTTTTATTAAGACTTATCTGTGAGTAGTCCACTGTCAGTGCATATTGTTTTTATAATAGTAYAATACATAWTGTATCATATATTTTGAGTATAAATTTCAGCCATTCCARTGTATGTATTCCCAGTGGGGAAACTACAAAATAAAATGAGAGTAGTTGTTTCTGTGGGCTGAAGTCTCAGGCCAGTGTTCTGTGGCTTTTTGTAGGAAGCTTTCAGGCAAGGCTTGACCTGTGTGAAAATCACTGGGTTGTTGCCTGTGTCTGAAGGGAGAGGAGGAKGAGGTGGAAGCTGAGAATCCCCTGTGCTCCTGAAGGATCAGATACCTCTGCTATCCCAGGGAAATGTTGCTGGTCTGCACCCAGAACCTGTCACTTGAGTATTTCTGGCTCAGATCATGTGAGTTATGGGGTTTCTTCAGGGCTGGTACTTGTTTACCTACCATGAAGGCTGAAGCCTGGTATCCAGGATGGTTTAATATGCTGTGGAATTTGTGGAAACAGGTTGTTTATGTTGAGCTTTAGAATCTGGGAATAGGTTTAGAAAAAAAGTAGTGTATATACCTTTCCCCCCCCCACCCCCAACTACATGTGTTTGTCTGTATACTTTGTTTTTCATGTTGTTTCTTCAAAACTGGACATAACATCTCTCAGCTTGGAAATKAAAGTATTTTGTGTCTACTGTCAAAACTAAATAAATACAAGATGAAACCTACGCTTGAATTTGTTTTTGTGAGTTTATGATGGAACACTCATCTGTGCCTTTGTCCCCTTAACTTCATCTAAAGAAACTGCAGTTACTAATCAAGAAACATGCTCCATAAAAGGACAGAAAATTTACCAGGGGTATGCCCCAAACTGTATTTTGAGATGATGGAATACAGTCTGCTGACACKTTATGTTTTTGAGAAGGGGAAAAATAAATTGTAAAATGTTGATCCATTRTTGCCCAGTGAAATTGTGGATGCCCCTTCCTTAAGTGTCGAAGGCCAGGTTGGATGGGGCTCTGAGCATCCTGGTCTAGTGAAAAGTGTCCCTGCCTGGGGAAGGAGAGGGGCCTCTCGGAACTGAATAATCTTTAGGGCCCCTTCTAACCCAAACCATTCTGTGATTTTCACGTAGCTGTCTGATGCAGATGGAGTTTGCTTGGAGCTTGAAAGATACAGTATCGCAAATTGAAGATCGAAAGCAGGATTAGGCTACATTCTAGGGATTTCAGGTGAACAGAGCCTTATTCCTTCCAAGAAAACCCCATCTCTGGTTTTGGGGAGGTGGGAGGAGAGAAAAGGAGGTGTCTTGTTTGCAATTAGCTGCTGCTGCTGTTCATGGTGGTTTCTTGGGGGCTTAAACCAAACAATACATACAATACAGTTAGTTTTRTAGACAGTTAAGTTTTTCAGCCTGTGGTGTGTTGGCCTTCCAACATTTCCAGTTCATGCTCCTTGTTCATATAAACCAAAAGATCAGTATATTTATGGAGTAATAAAGGTTTTCRTGTTATTGTAATATAATCAGTGACAATATCAGAAGTAAATTSTGATTATAGGTTCCAAGGGTTGAACACCTGATTGGTTGAAAACATCCATGATTGTTAAGCACACTAAAATTTCATTTTTTCAGTGTGTTGTTGAAACTTTAAGCAAATCCCACTTCTTGACCTCAGCTCTTGGAASAAAACAGTTATAATTTCTTTGTTTAAAGGAGAAGGTTCTTTTGAGGCTGTGTGAGAAGGTTAAGGTCTAATTTCCATTTGTAATAGATAGTAACAGAACGAAAAATACTTGGGGCTAGGTCTTACCGGGAAATGCAAAGTGAAAATTATTTTGAGGCCATTCTAAGTACAGTTGGATGCAATGTTAATTTTTGTAACTGAGATCCATTTTTTCCTTGGTTTTCTTCCCAATCTAATTTACACATCCCCARAATAGGTAGCWGTTCCATTATTAAAAACAARCTAACAAAACAAAACCAAAATATTCAGCAAACCCTAAAGAGTTACATTTCTTCATACCTCTTTTAATGCAGCTATTGYATGTAGTGCTCTTCCCACTGGGTGGTGCCATATTCCCTGTGTATAGCCAGTGGCTGCTTAGTGTCGCGCAACAATTTGCATGTTTCGTTAGTATTTAGTGTAATCTGTTCTGCTTTTGAAGATAATCCAGGGTTTTACTTATTTCCCTGATCCCAGTCTTGTTCTGAARTAGTTGGTGTCTAGAAAGCAACATACAGCACAGGTGGATGTTAATAATTGAATAATTGTGCATCACAGGCATTTTGTTCCTGCAAGTTGCTGCTTTCTGGACAGTGCTAGATGCTTGAATACTTTTCAGATGTGAGGAAATTTAATGAGTAAAAGTGGATAACTTTGAATTCTACAACCCAATACCTCGTTAAGGAAAGAAAAAGAAACTTTGGTTGCAGAGTGCAAAAGCTCCCGGTGATTTGTTCTTCAACCCCTTCAAGCGTACATGTAGCATATATTTGGGTGCAATTAAATGGTGGCAAGTTTCTCATTTGCTTTCTATCTGGTTATCAGCATTAACCAGCTTATACTAAGCAGACAACTGGAACTTCAAGAAAACAATGTAGAGTTATCTATGAAACTGCAAAATTAGAAGAGTAAAAATAAATATGTATACTTGCATTCCTCTGGATTTGACAGGTATGTATCTTTTCCTACCCAGAGAGATAATCAGAGGCCAGTTCTGATTGCTGTGAGAGTTCTAATTAAAGCATTTGTGGTTAAAATGGCAAATTTACAATGAATGCATTGTTTATTCAAATCCTTTATTTACGATTTTTCCCATCAGTCCCAAGTGATGGTAGTATACAACAGGGGTCAACAATTTATTTTTGATGGCAAGAAACACTGAGAARTAACAAGTAACTGGGAGGGTACTTGGGTTAAGGTATTACTGTGGTTACTATTTTGTTGCAGCTCGTTGCCTGCCTGTTATTCTGGTATGGTACAAAGCTGCAATCAGTAATAGGCAGTACAGTGCCATAGAGATTGTCAAAGCAAATAAGGAGGATGGTATTTGATTATAGATTTTGTTGCTATCAACCATTTTTCTCTCATCTGTATTTCCATTAGTCTTATTTCTACCATCTGTCAGAGAAGAAACTTTTTTACATGAGGTGAATTTCCTTTTAGTTGCTTTTCTCTGACTTCATCTCCGTCATTAAACCAGGCATTTGGTTAAAATCTCTTAGTGCGGTAGAAGATCCCACTGAGAAACACCTGTGCCKAAGCAGACCTAGGGAGAGAAGTGAAGTATGTTTTTGAAAGTTGCCTTTGAAAATTCTGATTTTCTTATTTCTGATTTTTAAAAACCCCAAAACCTTAGTGTTTAACAGCATGAAGTGCTGAGAAGGGCTTTCCTGTAAACCATTTAGTTCTAATTCTGACATAGTTTCAAAATATCATTCCGTAAAAAGAATTTTCTTAGGATATATAAATAGACTAAAAAGTCTCAAATTCAGCCTGGTTTTTAATAGAATTAAAATTTGCTTCCATGGTTCTGTGTATGAGCTCTACCAAAAGAGAAATTGAAACAGTCTGCTTTAAGTCTGGTAGAACTGAACTAGATGTGCCAAATTAAAAATTTTGTCTTATATTAATACTAGGTATTTAAGTAATACAATGAATTCAGCTACCACTTAAAGTATCTAAGAGAAAGATGGTTTACTACTGGCAGAAAAATCAAAATATGCTTTTCTTAGGCATACAAGTAAAGTTTTGCATATGGCATATAGAATTGGAGCTATTTATCAGACCTATAAAAACAAAGGGCAGCCACTCAGGGCTTTGCTGAGACTTGAGGAAGGTGGGATTCCAGAGCCTGTGGCAGACTCAAACTGCCAAAATATTTGACCTTGCTCAGTTCCAGTGAGGGGAATTCAGCCTCCCCTACCTCTGTTTTTTAACAATCAATAGCAATTTAGCCTTGGCAAGATTGAGACAGATCCTATTTCAAAACATCTGAGATTGAATTTTGTTCACAGGCAGCAGGGAGACTTTTGTGACAGAATGTGGTGTAAAGGGTAAGTAAATTTGAATATTGTGACTGTACTGAAGGGAGTTTAGTTAGAGTGATGTGTGATAACACCACCATGCAGTAGCACATTCAGATAACTGAGAATTTTGTCCAAAATAGGACTTGAGACTTTTCTTCATTGTAATGTTGGTAATGTTGGTATAAAAGCTAGCAAAAACTTAATCTTTTAAATGATTTATTTTGGAGATTTTTTGTTATGTTTTGTTTACTTCCTGTTCTATTACTGTTTAAAAATACCCAGTTTTATTCCTTGAGCCTTCCCTCTTTCTCTGCCCCCAGAATGCTTACAATATTAAACACTTCCAGGGGAATGTCTATGCATGAACTTAAAATACTAATTTACCTTGTTAAGGGACTTCATTTAATATAGCAAATGGAATTACTTAAAATATTTGGACATAGTTAAAATTTTGAATTGACACTTAAAGTGTGCTGGTTCATGCAAAATTTCTGAACAAAGATTGTAGAAGTTAGTCTTTGCTCTAACTGATTTGTGAGTAGGTGATCTRAAAATTGCCTGACTGCTTGTTGTTTGCTAGTTACCAATGAAGGTAATGTGTGTGACTAAGGTTATCTGTGTAGCCCTGTGGTTGTTAAAGAGGTTGCAGTGAAYTGAGAAACAGCCTCACCTTGCTGGSGTTTGGAGGGTTGGAAGTTGCATATCTGTGTTTTAGGGTCTGGCTAAGGCAGGGATGAGATACCCAGTGTCTTTATGGCCTCTGTTGTGCCCTGTAGTTCCTGCACACCTTCCCTTACACACCAGAGAACAGAAAATATTAAAACTTGGGGCAAGGTGTGCAACAGCATGGTAGCACCTTTGCTGCAAGGAGCTCTGCAAAGACAGTGGGAGAGGCAATTTTTTTTTTTCATTGTGTGATTTTTGTTCAACGCTCTTAATGGTGACAAGAAATTTCATTGATGCAGATTTTATTTATTATCTTTTAAGATTAAACTGCAGTCATGCAGAYTTTGGAAGAGCTCTCTGTGAGGCTTGAGCTGTAAGTGGGGCTACTTGGTTGCTTTGTCCTCCAGCAATTCTCTGCATCRGTGGATTGTGCTGCACAGCCAGCTGCAGTAGAGAGCAACAAGTGGGTTGCAAAAGCAGTGAAAAACTTTAATGCCTAGAAGCTCCATTTTAATCTTTTTCTTTCAATAAGCATTTTTGCTGTGAAGAATCTAGATGGGTTTTGAATTAAAAAATATGGACCTTATTAAAGGAAAAAACATGCTATCCTAGAAGTTAGACTAGGACCTGTATATTCTAATAAACTCCTACAAAATTATTTTCTTCTTTAATTAGGAAAGCCAACATGGTCAATTAACARGAAGATCAGTACTGTTAAAATATTTCACTTATCCCTTTATATGGTTGAATCTTATGTGTTTTCAGATTATTGTGTATTTGCAATACATAATAATAATAATAATAACAAAAAAAAAACCCCAACACTAATAACAAAGCAGTAAGTAATTAAACCTATTTTCCAAGTTTTTCCACTTGGAATATGAATAAAAATAAAATGAAGAAAAATACTGATGTAGTAATGKGTTTAGCTGTAAAACCATGTATTTGCTGTTGTGTAGAGCCCTTTCTCAAYGGACATTTGGGCTTGTTTTCCTTTTCTTTGAAGATAAGCAGGTAAATGGAAAACATTTGGTGTTCTTGGCTTTGCCATTGTCTCTAGGAACAAAAAAGCTGAAATACTATAAAAATTGCATGGTTGTTTTATGACATCAAAAATATGGATTTCCTGTGACAAACTGTGTTAGCAGAAGCATGATGTGAACTGACACAATATTTTTTTTCTTTTTTTGAAACTTATTTATTCAATGCATCTTGTGAAGCAAACTGTGGGCAGAAGCACTWGTGTAATCATGCAGCTATTACCTGGAGAGTGCAACCTCATTTTTGTTTGGTAATTTTTTGGTGATTTTCAGAACTCCCTTAAGTATATGAATTCAGCTTTCTGAACACAGTCTGCTTTGATCATACTGTTCTCTGGATTAGTATTTCTTGATGATGGTAGCACTGTCCTTCCTGTATGGAACTGTATKTCATGTGAATATGTATATGTTCGAAAAAAGTTGACATACATTCTCTTGCACAGATGTCTTATTTCAGTAGGAAAGTTGTTTAATTCCTAGGTTAGTACATAACATAAGGAGTAGCAAAGAGCTTGGCAATTCTCATGAAATATGATATGAATGCAAGCTGTTGCTGTTTACCTGTTTATTAAAGGCAAGCCAGAAACATACCTTCTGGGATTCATGTTTGACTTCATGTTGAAGGTTCCCAACCTTCTGGGAAGGTTGAAATTGAGTGGTGCATAAAAATCAACAGCAATAAATGTTGATTATAGAAGAAAGCCTTTCAGAATGAGATTTGACCAAACCTGTTTGAGGAAAAAAAACAAATATAGTGGAAATGTATAGTGAAAAATATAGTGGAAAAATTTGTAGCTTCTGAAACTATGTACTGGTCTTGCTTACCTTATTTATAATTGAAATAATGAACAATTATGTGATGCACAATTGTTCAGCAATCTGAGAGTTTTCTGCTGTGTATTTTATTTTTCATTTTGGTAAGCAATGGTTATCACAATTATGATAAAATGGGCTGCGTGTCATCTGTAAATAAGGAGATGCTTGAGCTTTTKTATTAAATGTTATTCTTACTCTCTAATCATTGCATAAATACATCTCCCAAAATGCTCTTGCTCCAGCAAATTTCCCTAACTGTGGTGCTTGAAAACTGGTCATGCATTTACGTGCAATATGAAATTGAAGATATTCCTTTGGGCATAATTTTGCTCAGAAATGTTTTAACATCATTAATAATGTATAAGTGTAACAGGCTTAAGCAAGCCATAGACTAGGTCACTTCTGCTCAATAATTATTCCTACATGGCAGTTAGTATTACAATAAGTATGTAAAAATGGTGGTGGGGGGGATAAGATACATGTCCTGTATTTTTGGAGGCTGGATAACCTTTTGATTGATGACACGAACCAGTTCAATTCAAGTTGCTTGCTCTGGCATGGTGTTAAAAACTGTTTTTCCAMCTAAAGCTCACACTATTTCTATGAGAGAAGTAGGAGAGGTAATGAATATTGATGGGAAACTGTAAGAAAAAGAATCTTGCTTTAGATTAGGCCATTTAAAGTAATTYTGCTTGTTTGGCCATTGCAATGTGGCCGTCTCTCTGTGAGTCACTTTGGGCAGCTTCTACTGTGTATGAACAGACTCTCTAAGTGAGACATGGGAATCTGAGGACAACAAAGTGAATGTTTATTGGTCAGCAAACATAAAAGACAGGTAGGGTTTAATGAACTCCTATATATGGTTATCCCTATGTGTCTGGACTGCAACAGGAATCTGAAGTGTCTTTCCTGGCCAGGCAGMTGTGAAGGGATGGAAGAGGGCCACCCTTTTTTCTCCTTTAAAGAAGTCTTCATTGCTGCTAGGTTGCTGTCTGCCACCTTCCTTGGGACTTGATGCCTTTCCACATTGATGTTTCTCGAATCCTTAAACTGGTAGCTAATCCTGTGTCACCAGTCCTACCTTTTTTTGTGGTTTTRCTTTTCTGATTATGTGTGGCTGTCCTCTGAAGTTTCTSTGARGTCTTTCCCATGKTTTGGCAACTTTGTTAGAAGTCAGYCTGAAYCAAGGTGAGGTTGCTGTKGTGTGTCTGAGCCACAGCAAMATTAAACWCTGAGGTCACATATTATGACACATCAAATGAGGAATTTAAATGAAATTAATGATTCCTTACATTTTAAGTGATTTAGGATTCTTTAATATCATGAGGATTTGAAAAGAAATAATTAAATTATATTTTTTGAAATCATTTGCAAAAATTTATTTTAATGCTGAACATTTGCTTTCTTGYAGTGCTTCTATTGCCACTATTTCAGTTGTTAATGTGTGATGAGAAATGCAGTTTGAAGAGGCAGGAAACACCACTCCTGGCCTTGAATGCTTAGTTCAAATCTCCCAGCAATTTTCTGGGGAATATTGTCTAAATACACAGCCTGCAACTGTCCTTTCCTCTGTTCTAGGCAGTGGACCCCACCATGATCGAAGTTGTGTTTACAACCAGAGCAACATAGTGGATGGAGTTTACTGCCTCCCAATAGCCCACTGGATTGAAGTCTCTGGACATACTGATGAGATGAAACATACAACCGATTTCTATTTTAATATTGCAGGACATCAAGCTATCCATTACTCCAGGTAAAAAGAAATGTGCAGAGCTAGGCTGGTGTCAAATGTTTAAACAGAAAATCTCAATTAGATTTTACATCTGAATTAGACATTACAATGCACATCTGAAAACTGCATATGAAATAGTGAATGTTTATCTATATGTAACAGTAAATTTTAACAAAGATTTAGCACCTCTTTGCAATTAAATGCCAGTGTGACAAACATTAAGTTTATCCTATACTGCACCCTATATGGGTGTGTTATGTTGCATCACATCTGAAAAAGTTTTGTGATAATTTATGGATAGCCATTTTCAAATGCTTGTCTATATACACATGTAAAATTGCATGTATGTTATGTGTTTGGTTTGGGATGATTTTACTGAAGAACATCTCCCAGGAAACAAAAAGAATAGAATTCAGCACCAGAACTTATGGATGACATGTTATTGTGTGGCAGCAGCTGCCATTAGTGACAACTGCTGTAGTTGACATCTGCTTCTGGGCATGTATTTAACAAAATACTGAAACTTAGACARGTTTTAAAATGTCTGTACTTCCACAATGTTCACTTGAGTCCACTGTCCCAGCGGAAAAGCATCYTGGCTTCAGTTAAGAGACAGTAAAGGTTAAGGGGGGCACCCACCCTTTGGGGCTTACGATGAAGCACAGGCTGTATTTAGAGCAGCAGCCTGAGCACTGCTGATTAACAAAGTGGCACTGAGGAATTTGTGACCCTTTGTAACTTTTTTCCCTATTTCCAGTCAATGGATATGGCAGCAAGTTTGTGGATTGATAATAGATGTGTGAATGCTGGCAATCCTGATATGCCACATGCATTACAGAGCAGTTATCCAAAGGGATATATATATWTTYTAAAAATCAAACCACCTTGTACTTGCATTAGGCCTTATCATTGCTTTGTCTGAATTTCTCCAGAAYACTGTATCAGCTACCCCAACCTCACCGTCTCCTCTTTGTACTCTCTATCTCCACCCTCTCACATGGTAGGAAGGAGAATTGTCTTTTTCTTATTAAACTTGCAGGGTGTAAGGGAAAGATTTCTTTCTCTTGGTATCTTTTGGAATAGCATGGATCCATAAACACAGTCAGGCATATGTATGTGTTTCTGTGACTTGATATGTTCTCCCTGAGGCCSCCTCAAGTTATGCATGACGCCTGATAGACTGTAGTGTTATGTGGATCTTAAGCATCTGTTTCCAACATCCTATCAGAGTAAAGATCTTGTTTATTCCAGAGCACAGGCTTGTGAGTCCCAAATAATCTTTGTTTGGCAGGCAATTCTTTTTGAGAAAGAAGAACAGCTGTCAGAAAGTGAATAACTAAGTACCAAAGGCTAGCTTATCTTCCTTTCCAGAGGCAGCAGTGATCCATTTAATGCTGCCTTATCTGCATGACTATGTGTTTCAAAGATTAGGTAAAAAGCTGGAGATTCTGCTGGAGAATATTTGAAGAAAATTTTCTGAGCTGTGTAGTCTTGTGCTGGTGATGATCTTCTTGATTCCTTTCTCACACATACATACCTTCATTGAAAGGCAACCTTATATGTACATCTTAGTAATTCTTATCTCATTTCTTTGAGCTATATTAAGTATGCATTCTATGTAACAGTTCTGTTACATAATTACTTCTAATACTTTGAAGATATGCAGCTTTAAATGTTTTTAATTATTAACAGTTGGGGGCAGATGCACCATTCTGCTGGTTATAATAAAGCAGCCCAAAAATACTAGCTAATTAAGAAATTTTTTTTTTGGCGRCTGAAGTGAGCTGATGAAAATGCCTTTATTTTGCAGTTGGATTTATTGATTCAGAGGAGTACTATGAAGATTAATCTAATAAAAGAATTTTTAAAGCTACCTAAATACCCCCCCATCCTCCCCAAAGCAACCAAAAACCAAAACAGCAGCAAAAAGCCAGCCCCTCTGCTTGTACAGTTTAATCTCAGAGTATGATCAGATCGTRGTTTTCTGGCTAAGAGGACTTTTTCCATGCTGTAGTGAAGGCATGCCTGTGGGAGGCATTATAACCTCAAATAGACTCCTGTCACCAGTTGTAGGATCTTTACAAGGTGGAGGCTGGAAAGAAGTGATTTATCAATGAAAAGTTTTGGTGAACTCCTCCTCTGTGTTGCTCCACCGAATAGGATTTCCATGTGAGAATTAACAGGAGAGGCAGGTTTTCCTCTGTTAAAGGGGCTTCCCACATCAGCCCTGGGACTTCCCACATCACCCCTGATTTTACTTGGCCTCTGAAATCACAACAATTAAAACAGTTGCTCTGACCTTTGCTGCCATCTGGCTTCTTCATRAAACATAAACTTCTGGTTTAAATGGGCTGCAGTAGGATGAGAGGAGCCTGCTTCTGGCTGGGGCAAAAAACAATTTCGCCTTGTGCTGAGGCTGATGATGATGATGCTTTGAGGAATCAGATTTTTCTTATTTGATATAGATGTATCACTTATAAGTCAGTGAACTTAACTTTAACCTTATATTTATAAAATTCATTTTGTGTTGGTYATTCAGGTAGGAGAGTATATAATGKGGTTTTTAAGTAATTTCTTGTAAATGTGAAATGGAGCTTTCCCATAGCTAGGGTCATGATTGATATGAGTGATGACTCTGTGGCATTAATATTCACTTGGTTTGGACATGTAATGATGCCTATAATCAAAATCTGATCCAGGAAAAAGAACAGCAATCAGTTTCTCTTTTGTGTTAGGTATTACTGCTGTAAGACGTCTTCAAATTGCAGGAGAATTTACTTAGGGCACAGTAATTTTCCAAAGTAAACTAGACTTATTGTAATCTTTTCTGGGAGACGACTTGGGAAAATTTGTGAATCTGGATTATATTATCTGTTTCAGCTCCRCCTGTGAAAGATGGAAGTCCCTAATTTGTAATGTAATATACTTTATTATTTATATAAAAACAYCTGCATTTCTCAGAAGCAAGGCATAAGAGCAAGAGAGGGAGTGACACCTAAAATTACAAAATCCTTAAATAAYACATTGAAGACAATGATGCTTGATGGTAGAATTAGATGAATTAGATGCTATGGAAATGAATATCTCTGATAGGAAAAGCAATCCAGTTAGTTTCCAATTTTCAGACTAATTTTGGGTGTATGCTTTGTGTGAGTCATACTTCTCAAATCTGACAAAGAAAAATAATTTGTACATGCTTTGCATGTAAAATGCAGATAAAGTGGAATCTCTGAGTTCCTCAGACAACAGTGATAGCTAATCTGTAACTGAGGTATTGTATGGCTGCTAAATATTTTGGGGGAAGTTACACAATTTGCAATCCACAATCATGGCTACATGACAGTAGCCATGGGTCCTGACAACAAATTTTTGAGGTACAGGTTTCTTTAGTAGCTTTTTTGCAKAGATGGCTTTTTTAGATATATATATTATATATATATATATATGCATATATATCAAAGGCCATCAAATACTACTATTTCATGTTTATGGAGTGATTGGGAAGTTGATAAATGTTTTCTATCATCAGTATTTATATCCCTAATATTTTTCTAGAAGACAAAATAAAGCTAACAATAAAAGAAAATTTACTCCCATCCTTGAAAATACTATTTTTGTTTCTCAGTGGTTGCAAATGAAGCACAATTTATGATGTATTTACAAATGCTTTGTGGTTTGTCGGTGAAACAGTTTACTCCAACACTGCCATAATAATATGGGTTATAACCTAAGTTAGGTGTTAAGTGGGAATGATCAGGAGAGTCACATAAAATGTGTGTTCCTGCTTTGTATTAAATGTTAATGAAGATAGGTGAGTGAATGAAGGATGATCCAGCACAAAATGGAGATGCTTCTTGTTTACCTTTTGAAGGCACTAGAGCAGTATTTTGCTGATGGAGCACAGAATTTCTTTGTATGGGAAAAATGAGCATTTACTTGATTGATATGTATCTTTAATTGGGGTGGAAAACAAGAACCTGATTGAATATATTTGGTTCAGTATGAAATCAGAGTTATCCTTTAAAAATACAATAGAGCACTTTTATTTTTTTTTCTCTTTAATTTCTCTTCTTACTCVTTGTAATTCATTCACAAAATAAAAGACCTATCTGTTTTAAATAGAATTCTGAACTAATTTTTTTATTACTGGRTTATAAGAAAGGCTTTAAAGAGTAWGCTCTCACAAAAGCCCCTGGAGTGCAGTGACCTAAGCTACTGTAACAGAAAGCTGCACTGACATTTTATGCCTACATTATGAATTAARAGAAGAGGTGATGATGTCTACAGAGATTGTCATAATTAACATTAAAAGCTGAGAGCTAGCTGTCCCCTGTGCCGAAAGGATGCTTGTGATTTTAGAGAAAAGAATAAGAAATAATGAGCTCTGTAACAGAAGTTGTCAATTGTATTCTAGTAAAATAGCCCTGATCAAAAAGGCTTAACATCAATAAGAGTTCAGCCTTTGATTTCAGTACTTGGGGCTCTAACTGTAAAATTATCTGGCCATTTTATACATTAAGTAATGAAAATATTCTAGGGCACAGTTTGTAATGTGTTTATCCCATAAACTAGGACATCTGACTACTGCTTTGAATATTGTATTATTKTACTGAGCTGTAGTCTGAAACTAATTTAAATTAGAGCCATTGCTTACTTACCAGTGGGAATCATCTTTTATAGAATGGTTTAAAGGTTTATTCTACTTTTTGTCCCTTGTRTATCTTAAATTTTTTTTTCTACATCACCCCCAACTGGAGCTGTGAAATGCTTTTACTAGCCTCTGTTGTGAAGAAAATGGGTTTCAAATCAGTGGAAGAAGTGAAATTTAAGCAATTTTTTATTTAACTTCTTGAAAATTAAGAGGGAGTGTGAGGAAATAGGAGCCAGAGTGAGAAGACAAATTATGAGGTTMGAATTCAATCAGTTGATGGTCCTTATTTTTTCATTTATTTAATTTGGGTGGTCTCTGTATTGGGTAACAAATGCATTTTTCTTCCACATTTGTTGTCCATCCAAGCAAA